ATAAAAAGGGGAGAAAAATCTTCATTTTAATAAGAAAAAAAAATTCAATTAGATACAAGACGGAATTACTAATTTGAAATTTTATTATTTTTATAATGAAAAGTAATTTAGATAGAAAATTTTAACAAAATGTGAGGTAAAAAGGACGACCTAGAAATTTTAATAAAAACATTTTTAATGTGAGAAATTTGATGAATAAATTATGAGTTGGAACTGTGGTGGAAAAAGTAAGTTTTAAGACAAATTTGAACATTCCTAATAATTCACTGAATTTTCATTTTCCAATCCACTTTCTACTTGATGCCTCATTAACAAAAAAAAAATAAATAATTTGATTAAAAAGTGTAATTCAGATGAAAAAATTCCTTAACAAAATATTTCCATAAAGCTCGATATAAACCAGACATTTTTATGGTTTCTCTTTGAAAGCATCAGTAAAAATAAAGAAGAAACGAAAAATGAAGAGGGGTTTGAAGCTGTTTGCGAGGCATTTTTTTATGTTTCGCCTCATAAGTCGACTGACGTCTTGCGATCTCATCATTTTCATTTTCTTTTTCCTTCCTTCCTTTTTCCCTCCATTTTTATATATTTTTTATAATTCTTGTAGAAGCTTTCCACGTTTTTACACACACAAAAAAAAAAGAATAGTGAATCAGCATTTAGACAGTTTAATTAAAATGTATATACGTTTACAGCAGCATCCCATTGAGGACGTTTTAATTGATTCTGATTCTCAGTTTTACTTCAAATTTCACTTTCATTTCTCATTTCCATCTTCCGGAAATAAGAACGAAGCGATCATTATTTTCATCGCCTTCATTTTCATGCCATCACTAAAAGAAAACAATAAAGTTGATAGGCATTCAAGTTCATTGGCAAGAAATAGCTTTTTATTTCAATGATAAAGAAATGAAACAAAACAATCAGAAAGAGAATAGAACAAAGCGAAAAAAACCTTTCTTTTCTGACATTTTTTGCCACATCAACAAATTTATGTCTTTCTGGGGGCTTATTTATGTTTTAGAAGTCCGATGAGCTTTCATTTTGTCTGCTTGACTGCTGAGGTTATGAACAAATCAGATGTGTCATAAATTGGAGGTTTAAACTCTTAATTCACCATCATTTTGCCTATGCTTTTGCAGTCTCGATATAATTAAAAGGAAAATTTTATAGCTCAGGTTAAAGTTTACCACTTTTTGACAAAATAGGAAATGCTAAACACTAAAAGCGCCCTAAATAGTCCATCGTCTTCCTTTCACGTCATCTATTCTTTTCACTGAACTTGGAAGGAAAAAATTTCAGTGGATACTCAAATTAATATCCACAGCAGTACATCGAACATAATACTGTGTACAGAAAAGAAATAGAGCTTGTATAGTCAGCAGCTTTCGTTATTGATATAAATCAATTTCCTATAATTTTTCTGTTTATTTATTTTGATCCTATTTCTTTAATTTTTTTGGTACAATATGCTTTTCCGTCTCATGCTTATGCCTTGAAATACTCACAGTGTATACACATTTGTTCGGGCAATCAATAATTTAATACAGCATGGAATAAAAAAATGAGCTGAACAGAAAAAATCGATTTTTATGGCATCCAATAAATTTAATGTTGAACAATAAAAATTATTTCCTAAAATAAAAATCAAATTTTGAATATAAGAGCTTTCAGCACTAATTAACTGTCCATTGTTCGTAAAAATCGTTATCAATATCCATTATATACCATCAAACAACATAAAATAACCTTAATTTGTATTTTGACTTTTCATGTTTTACATTATTTTACGAGTTAATGTACATAAAGCATGTTGAATATACAAATAATTATGGGAAATGCCTACAAGTAATTATCATAATGGGTGTGTTAAATTAACACATTTACTAAATTGCATGCAATTATTTACAATCAATTTTGATAATTGTGGTTCAATTTTTTTTAAAATTAATGGGAGTTGAGCTTTTTTCACACGAATTTGTTGGTATTAAATTAAGTTTTAAAACTTTCACATTATCCTATCCATCACAGTAAGAATAAATTTAAACTAGATTTAAAGCTCCAAAGATAATAAGCTAAATCTTCCAAAAAATCCCACACAAATTCATTTTTCTGCCTCAGTAATTTTTTAAACAAATCTACAAATTTAAAATCTTTGCTAGTAAGTTTTACAAAATCACATGAAAATGAAAATTCTTTTCTCTTAAATTTATTACAATTTTAACGATCCATTCTCGAGCTACATGGATATTTTTTTAAATTGAAAATTTCTGTTCTCTTATTTTATGCTTTTTAAACTGTAACTTTTATAATGTAATTCTATTATTTTTATCCTCCCACACACATTATTTTATTATCCATACACGATGAGATGTAGCAACAGCATTACAGGCAGCAACCACAGTATCCCCTACTAAAATAAATAAATTTCATTTCAATCCCAATTAAATTAATTAATTATCTTTACTCATCTGTGTGCCAAGATAAAAATACACATAATAATAATAAACGACCGTAAGATAAAGTGCGATTAGAATGTCACAAAAGCAGCAGTAGAAAATTTATTTCGTTTGCTTTCAATTTTTAATTAATTGTGAGAAAGACGAGAAAATTAAAAAATAAGAAGTGGAATGCACCTGAGGAAATTTTCTCATTAAAGCAGCTGACAAAAGACAAGAAAGTAAGACATTAACAATCTACATGAAATATTGAGCTGAGGATTTTGAAGACATTTGCATTTTTAGTCAATAAATTATGAGGAAACATTTATTTAAAATTATTAAAATGGAAATGCAAAAAGATTTTGCACAATCTTTAATTGATTTTGTTGATATGGGAATTATAATTGAAATACCTGGCAGTTTGTAAATGAATTTAATTAACATATGCAAAAATGTTGAGGGTTGAGGAATTTAATTAACAGAATTTTTATGCTTGGGGTAGATTTTATGTGGGAGTTATGCTTGTGTGAAATTTGCCTCTGGAGATAAGAGAAGCAATCGTGTTGTAAGGATGGAAAGGAGATGATTGGGTGTCGAATTAGACTTTTTTTTCTGAAATGGCTCTTAGGAAAATATTTCCATCTTCCTGTATGATAACAATTGTTTAATACTATTTTATGAACAGAATCACACAGCGAATAGAAAGCTTTAACTTTATGTTCCTCAAAAATCAAACTCCGCAACTAAAGATCAATAAAATTGACTTTCAAATCTACCCCATGTCTTTTCAAAGTGAAAATCCACCCAAATCTCTTCCAATTTAAAACAATTCTCAGGTATTTTTCCAAATCTTTACTGAATAAAAAATAAATAATTTAAAAGACGAGAAAGAAAGTCGAAAATCGGATTACATGTTAAGCATGTAAGCATCTCCATCAACTTTCTCAAATTTTTTCAGACAAATTGTCAGGAAACATTTTCAGATTCAAGCAAATGTTGAATAATTCTATCTAGAGAATATCTTTTTTCCTCATCACTCAAAAGTGAGGAAAATTTTTGACATTTAATTAAAAATTATTTTATTATTGCCTCTTTTACTTCTTCACAAAACTGTTCTGCAAATAAACATAAATTGAATAATACTTGTTTGTATACTTTGAATAAACATGAATGAAATATGAGAAGAAAGATCATAGCTAAATAGAAAAAGTTTTCATGACTCATGGGTCCTTTTCTTCTTTTGATGATGAAAAAATATTGTTCAGCTTTTTGTGTGAAAATTTGATAGACAAATTTAGAAAGTGTCGATGCATTAATATTTAAGGAGCTATTACGTGCACGTAAAGTGTTATTTGGAGCATATTACACACATTCTCCCTAGAAATATTAAAGTCTCTTAACTAAAAGCACTCAAACTTCTTCGTTTGACTAAACCCTTCAACTCAATTCATCCAACAAAAAGGGCTTTTCAAAAAAGTTACTTTTCATCACAGAGATTACTTGTTTGAAAGTTATAAAGCTTTCCACTCGATGCTCGAGGGATTCGTTTACAAAGGAAATTTACTTTATTTTATTATTTCTTTGTATTTTTCTTTATGATATTTTTTTCGATTCAAACGCATGAGTTTATGAAAATGGGAACCGTCATAATACATCTTTTGATTTAGTGCCCTATCATCTTCTTGTGATGGTGACGGTCCTAAAAAGCCAAAAAAAAATATCCTAAAACCTTTAAACAAATCTTTTAATAAACAAAAATTCTCCAAATAAACGATTCGAACCAAAAGTAAAAGCACATCAAGTATGACAAAAGAAAGATAGAAAAGGAATTTATTTTATGGATTTCTACAATTTTTTCAATTTCACTGCCTTTTTCTTTCCTGTTCCTAATGAAAAATAGCTAAGAATGAAACAATTCAATGGAAAAAAATCCACACGAGGCGTAAGTAAAGATAGACAATGCCATGTGTAGGTTTCTTTCAAAATGTTCATGTTCATGGAAAAAAGAGAAATAAAGAAAGAATTTTTTTCAACAAAAAGCATTGAAAAAAGATTCAATGATTATGAAAATTTCGGAGGATTTAATTCGGATGAACGAGAGCTCATTTAGAAAGATTGAGAGTAATTAAGAAAACCGAAATTACTGTATTTTATTTCATTAGAAATTCAAAGTTTGCGGCTGTAATCCTTAACGTGATTTCTTGAAATTAAAAGAGGGGTTTAGCTTTTACTTTAATAATGAACAAAAAAAAAGCGAAAATAAAGTGAGAGTTTTGAATTAATAATTTCATCTTTTTTGCAGTTTTTCGATGGATTTTAGGCTAATATTGCGTTCTAAGTTCCAAACGCTCGTCTTTACAATTCCCTTGCTTTTTTAAACACCAGAAATTCGTCAATTTCTTTTTTATTAATAATCTTTAATATTCCGAACCTTTCATCTCATTTTGACATAAATTTGTCCAAGATGAAAAATCTTCTGTATTTTCCGTTTGTATTTACTAACAAACATTTAACGATTTATACATAGCTATTTACATAAAAATATGAATATATTCACAGAAACAACTAAATAGACGACATGATTATATCCGAACATATGGTCGCAATGAGGACTATATCAGAATGGTTAGAATACACAACGATTTTGAATTCTGGGGCGATTATGCCGATGAAGAAATTCTTGAACGTAATATGGTTGTTGGTCGTGAACTTCCTCAGGACAAATATTTTTACGGTTATGAGAAAGAAAAACGAATACAAGGGTGTCTCTTTTGTAGCGATAAAATTGATATGGATTTTAATAGATTTGATATTTTTCTTGAACATCATGATATTATAAGACAAAAAAATCATTTTGATTCTTTTCGCACCTCAATGCCTACATTGGATAAAAAATATGAATATGACTCGGATGCTAAACCATGTTGGTGTAATAACCTGCCACAGTTTAGTCGAAGTAGTGTCGGTGGATCAAAATATCTTCTGCCAGCTCAGCCGTACGCACTTGATCAGGATGATTTGATATTTGAGTCACGATTTGAATCTGGTAATCTGGCGAGAGTCGTAAAGGTTACGAACAATTACTACGAGTTGTACTTGCGACCCGACATGTACACTAATCGTCACACTCAATGGTTCTATTTTCGTGTGAAGAATACTAGAGCTAAAATGACCTATCGGTGAGTATACTGCACCTTTTTTTGTGGTACATGTGTTAAAACATATAAATATCATCGAGAGGGAGAGAAAATTTGTTAACAACACAATTTTTTCTACCTAAAATGAAGTCTTTTTCCTTCGCTTCCTTTTTCATTATTCCATTTCGTTTAAATAACCTGAAGAAAAATTCTCACTCGAGTGTGAAAAAGTCATAAAAAATTGATTTCTTTCGTTCAATGAACTAGAAAAAGTAAACACTTAATGGACAATTTCGAGTTTTCATATTGACAGTTTTGTCATTAAGAAGAAAATCAATAAATCAGAAATGAGAATAAATATGTTTTGAAGAGGATTGTGTGGGTTTCTTCTGAGAACCATTGTCATGTATTTTACAATAAAAATGGGTGTTTTTGAAAATATGGTAGCTGTTTGAATTGCCGAGCTTATCATGACATGATTTCAGCAAACTTGGGATATATTTAAGGATATTTTTTTAAAATAGTAATGCCCAGTTTTACTTTAAAAAAATATATTCACCCAAATTGAGAATTAGGTTTCTGCAAAGAAGCCACGAAGAATTTCTTTTCCATTAAGTGAAAATTGCGTTTAAAAAGCTTTATTTCTTCTTGTCATTTTTTCCACAATACATGTAACCTCTTTCGAACAATAAAACCCGATTTTCCGCATGAGGACACTTTTTATCGCTTTTATGTTGCAATTATATAAAAAAGTATATTTGTGTGTACATGTACGAAGCATTGAAATGATGAAAAAAGATTTCAATCACGCAAAAGTCGTCGATCTATTGATCAATCTAAACTTTTGTCAATGCATCCCATATCTCTGCTTTGCCCACTCATTCATTTATCTTTCTATCACTTCTACAGATTTTCTATTGTTAACTTAACAAAGCCTGATAGTTTATATAAGGAAGGAATGCGCCCACTGATGTACTCAACAACAGATGCCACAAATAATAATATTGGATGGAGACGATGTGGAGAGAATATTGCATATTTTCGTAACGAAGATAATAACATTTACAGCACCAGAAACTATCATCAAGTGCTCATCGATGATTTTGATGATGAAGACAATGGAAATATTTGCTCATTCACTTTAACATTTAATATTGAATTTCAACATGACAATGATACTGTCTACTTTGCACATAGCTATCCGTATACATATTCTGATTTACAAGATTATCTTATGAATATTCAACGTCATCCGATAAAATCTAAGTTCTGTAAACTGAGATTGTTATGTCGTTCATTAGCAGGAAATAATGTTTATTATTTAACTGTTACTGCGCCGAGTACACCTGAAGAGGAGATGCAAAAGGTATATATTTTTGAATAATTTTATGGACAGTAAACAAGTTGATGGAACTCTTTGGTCAAATTTGCGCTGTTTTGTGAAAATAGGTCCGTTTGAGTTAGAGTTTTTGATCATATTTTGTAAGTTTTCTAGTCCCCCTTTAACTCAATAAAGACCTGTTAACAGAGTTCTATCGAAATAATGTAATTTAAAGCAGCTACAAACTTACACTAAATTTCTAATTACCTTCTCACATTTACAAAACTTAGAAAAAGAAGGCAATTGTTATAACAGCACGAGTACATCCAGGTGAGACGCCAAGTTCTTGGATGATGAAAGGTTTTATGGACTTTATAACAGGAGATTCATATGTGGCTAAAAAACTACGTCATAAATTTATATTTAAACTCGTACCAATGCTCAATCCGGATGGAGTCATTGTTGGTAATACGAGAAGCTCATTAACAGGCCGTGATTTAAATCGACAATACCGTACCGTGATAAGAGAAACGTATCCGTCCATTTGGAATACAAAGGCTATGATTAAAAGGTAAGAAAATAAATTTTATTTTTATTTCTTTTCTTAACTTTTACATTTAAGTGAATTAAATTTCAAGCCCTCAAGATATCATCCTTACATTTATCAAGTGAAAAGGTCGAAGCATCCCTTTTTGCACACAAAGATGTGTCAAATCAATTTGATACTCTCTCATCTGTTGTACACAAAAATTGAATTATTTGAATTCCTCTTCTGTTGACAGATGTTGAAAGAGATGAATAAATGTAGAAAAATTAGCATAGGAAATATTTCTCCTATTTTCATATTACATCATACGAACACGTGTAGAACGGGAAGGATGTCTCATGTAAAATTCAAAATGATATTGAAAATTCAACGCAAATTGCGTGACAATTTTTTTTCGAGAATATCGCATTTTCATTAATAAAAGAAACCTTTTGAATGGTTCACATATGGATGTGGACTTTTGAATTTAGAATATTTTAGTAGCAGACTTTTTAAATTGAAATTAAACATGAGATTGCATTTGCTATGGAAAAAAATTCTCGTTAAAATATCTCAATTATTTTATTCTTATCCGTCACGCATATCAAATATAACCTTTTAGAGAAATTACATTTTAAAAAAATAATTATAACCATTAAGAGAGAGAGAGAGAGTGATAAGGATCATATCCGCAAAGGGTCACCCACACAAGTCCACGAGACTAGCATCTCATTTCAATTAATTTTTAATGTTATTTTTTTCTCGTCTTTTTCTTCCTCTTATCTTTAATACCTCACGCCAAAAAAAAAACATCATCAGACTGATGGAGGATTGTGGTGTCGCTTTATATTGTGATATGCATGCTCACTCAAGGAAACATAATATTTTCATCTACGGCTGCGAGAACATGAAACGTCATCCTGATAGACGACTTTTAGAGCAAGTCTTTCCGCTCATGTTACATAAAAATGTCGCTGATAAATTTTCATTTGAGAATTGTAAATTTCGTGTTCAAAAGAATAAGGAAGGAACTGGTAGAATTGTTGTATGGGTACTAGGCGTGACAAACAGTTACACATTAGAAGCATCGTTTGCTGGCAGTACAATGGGATCGAGAGCTGGAACTCATTTCTCAACTATGGTACGATAAACAGCATAAATTCATTTTACTTTTTATTAACATTGTGTCCTTATTATTTAATATAGGATTATGAACAACTGGGACGAGCATTTTGCGAGACATTGATGGACTATTATGATGATAATCCACTTAAAGTAAATACATTTATGCCACACATTAAGAAAATGCGTAAAGAACAACGCAAAGCACGAAAAGCACTTAAAGCAAAACGAAAATCCGAAAAATTGGCAATGGAAGAAGGACAAATAAATGAAAATCAAAATGACAGTAATGATAGCTTTGAGTACCGCGATTATTATGAGTTAGAAAGGATGAAAAAAGTTATTAAAATTTCTCTACAAGAGACATTTGATTGGGACGAGTTAGCAGAGGATTTACGTAAAGAAAATGTGGGTAGTGATGACGATCTCGGGTCTGATTATGAAAATGAAGATGAAAATTATCCAGATGAGCATGATGAATAGTTTATTTGTCCTTCTTTCAACATCGTTGTCATTCTAACATTTTTGTTACACAAGAATATTTATGTTCATATAGGCTATGATTAGATTTTATGTAACTTGATTCATATGAGAATGCAATACAATGACTAAGAATGAATATTTTTTTTAAGGATGAGGAAGAATTAAGGCAAGGACAAAAGGAGTATGGCATTTAATGAATTACGGTTGAGATTTTCATTTATCCTATTAAATATTATGTTGGATTTATGATAATTGAACGCTTTTGCCGAAGAACGTGACGTGAAAAAACGGGCATTTGGAATTTGAAAATGATTAGACCGATTTTTACAAAACAAAGAAATTTTTTTAAAACTGATCAACGGTTATTCTTACAATAAAATTAGTGATTTTTCTTATACTAATAAATTTGCCAATAATTTGTAATGACTACAGTACGTGGGAAAACTACGAATATGAGAGATGACTGCTTCTCTCTTATTTTCTGATAGCAAATAATGGTTTCCATGTTTTCCACGTCTATCTGAAGTGTCTTCTTTTTTAAACTTATCCAAAGCTAGCCTAATGACATTCTTAGAAATTTCCAAAATTGAAGTGTAAAATAAAACACATACCGACTTTCCAAGAAGAAAATATTTTTTTCGTTGAGGATCTGATGAGTCAACTGATGCTACTATAAATGCCACTCTTGCCTGATAATCAAAACTCCTGTAATTTTGCTTGATTTGCTGAATTTTTTGTTCGGTGAATTTATTTTTACAATTATTTTTGCAGCATGTCTTCTGATTCTTAAGATTACATCCTTGAGTGTTCAGTTCACTTGTCTGTTGTTTTTCTCTAACCATTTTGAATTAAAGTACAATAAACTCAATAAAAAAATAATAAAATTTAATTTTACGTGTGTAAACAAAAAAAAAATTTCTTTGTTTTGTAAAAATCGGTCAAATCATTTTCAAATTCCAAATGACCGTTTTTTCACGTCACGTTCTTCGGCAAAAGCGTTCAATTTCTTGTGGCAGAGCTTTTGTGATAGTGTGTTGGTGTATAATACTCGGCATGTGTGAAGACTTTTTTATTTTCGTACAATATAGTTGATAAAGTAACAAAAAAAAACATCATTCAAATCCATCAACAAATGTGTTCAAAGTCTTTTCACAAACAAGTAAAAGTTATTATAATACAATTAGCTCCAGATTTCATTTGTTGATTATACAGCCAATTATTCACAGTCAATCCAAAAGCTCTCAAAACAAACTTTCAGGAAACTTCTTAACCTATTTTATCATCGATTATCAGAAAAAAAATTTTGTCCTTCAACTTCAATTCTTCATCTTCTCTTTATGTAATTAACAAAGATTGATCTCTCTTCATAAAACATAAGAAAAGCAAAAAAGAAAGAAATTCTTTTCTCTTTCAACCAACTGTGCTTAAACAAGAATTCATCAATCAATCAATCAAACAATCAATCATGTATGTTACATGTGTGAAAGTCGTTTAAATCCAATCAATCAATTAATTTTTCTTCTTCTTCCAAAAAAAAAATATAATCCATTGACTAAAGAGAAATTATAAATCAGTTTGCATGAAGCAACTTAATGACATTCAGAATCGAGGTGGAAGAGAATTAGATGAAACAGAAGCTTATCTACGTCATCGTGCAAGAGTTCATGAACGTGAGAAACGTGAGAAATTAAAGAAGCAAGGAAAACTCGAGGAATATTTAGCAGAAGTTGAAAAGAATAAGCCAAAGAAAGAATCGAAGAAGGAATGGATTCCTGAAGAACCACCAGTTTTTGACGAATTTATGAAAGAATATTATGAGAGTAGAAAATTCGACAAAGAAAATCTCGTCATTAATAATGTAATAAAGCATCCAACTCCAGAAGATTATTATGGAATGCCACATAGTAGTGTAGAAATAAAGAAAAAGGTCAAGAAACGTAAGAAGCCTAAAAAGATTGAAAATCGTGAAGATGAAATTTTGCTTAACGACCCAGAATTTAAGCCTGAAATGGCTGGTAGCACTGGTCTACCAAAATTCTTTTTCAGTAATCTAGTCAAGCAAAATCGCTCAGCCCTTCAAGAGGCTCAAGCTCGTCATCGAATGGATTTTCACAAACATAACAAGAAACATCACAAATGATCAATCTTACTTAGTTACAGAAATAAAGAAAATATTATTTTTAGCAACGATGAAAATTAAGAAGAAATTCTGAACTAAATTACAAAATCTGTGCATATACTTCCTCAAATGTTTTACGTTCTTCTTAATTTTGTCGCTAATTAGTGCAAGATGTTGCTCCTATGTTTATTTTAATTATTATTTTCTTGTTTATTTTAAGTGTTTGTAGATTATTAGTAAAATGAAAGATCCTTTTAGATGATTTTAGTAAGAATTTCTACCCGAAATTTAAACAGATTGTTTCAATCAGTATGAAAATCTGACAGAAATTATCATAAGGTCCCTTCACACATAAAAATATAAACAAGTATCCTGATTGTAAATGAATATTTGCAAATGTGTTCCTTTTAAGTTAAATAAATTATAGGCCGTTTCATCTCAGGCATATATACTTCTGTGACTTTCATAGCATTCACAAGAAATATACCAAATGATACGTAATAAAAAGATCACAGAAAGATATTTGATAATACTGATGCTTGAGATGTGGCGGTTCGTTTAGTTCAAATTTTATTTGTAGAATTAATTTTGAGATGAAAATGGCACGCTTCTAAAGTGTTTTAGCAATTATTATTTTAATAAAAGAACTTGTGACATTTTCATGGCATCATGTTGATGATTTTATGATTTACGTGTGTAAAATTGCAATAATGCAACTTATGACCGAATAAAAAAGAGCAAAAATTCTGTACCTGACGAAAAATTGCACTTTTTAAAATTATTTTTTCAATTTGCATGCTTTATATTTAATGGGTAGACGAATCTTCACTCATTAGTGTCGCTTACTGTTTGAAACCAAAATTCTTCAAATAATTTCTCTCGACTTAATTTTAGGAAAAGCTTCGAATGAAAATTTTAACACGACTTTCAAAAGAGGGCTCGAGTGCAGATGAGCCACTGAACATTCCACTTTCAGATTATTCAAGGTACTTAAATTTTCTATTTTAATTTATATGACATAGAAAAAACTTTATTTTGTATTTCCCAACAGTGACGAAGGTGATTCAAGTTCGAGTTCTGATGATGAGGGTAAAGATAGTTTATGTGATTTAGAAGGACCTTGTTGTCAAGCTTTGAGAGTACCACCATGTTCACCAGTACTCTCACCGGAAAGAAAATCAAAGAAAAAGGTTTGAATGTTCTTTAATAAAAATTTCAATCTTAATTAATCTGTATAAATAATCTTAGATACACGGCAAAAACAAGCATCGAAGAGCCTCTCCCATAAAGCGTAATAAATTATTGACGAGATCTGTTATGGATTTACCGACAACTGATCCCGGCAGTGATTTTCCTGATTATTATACAACGGAAGATGAATGTGAAACAGATTATGATACTGAGGGCAATGTAACGAAAGTATCACGATCGAAAAAAATCCTTCGAAGTGAGATGAGAAAGGCAAATTCTGCGAGTTGTGATGCTATGCCACCAGAACTGATTATTACTAAGGTAAATTGCCAAATTTACATACAGTAATAAATTAATAAAGTAGTAGATTTAAAAAATTACAACTTTTCAAGATATAAGGGTTCAAATCCCAAATATAATTCGACAAATGAAATAAAGTACGCTGTTTGAATTTCATTTTTTAACGTTTTTGCCTAATTTTTGTAATTTAGGTATCAGATGACAATCAATTAACAAGTTTAACAGATCTGCCGATTGAAAACAAGTCACTTAACGATTCAAAACAGCCAATAAGTTTTTCTCAAAACATCATTAAAGAATTTCCGCCAATTGGTAACAAACCAAAATCTTGGCATAATTTTAATCGATGCATATCTACAATGAAGTAAGAGATTATTGATAATAATGATAATTGAATGAAAATTTTAATAAATAAATTATTAAATAGGATTCGCAACATTAATTGTGAAACGGAATCAACATTTGAAACTTCCGAAAGTCTTCATTTTAAATTATCGTTAAAGAAACAGATATGGACTGGAACACAATCAGACACAACGGTATTAGATTTTACAAGACCATTATCATATGGTGCTCAATCATCAGCTGCCATGATGTTCAATAAATCAATCTTCTATGACAGTGAAGCACTTTTGACGTAAGAATTATCTTCTCCAAATGTATAGGGTTATAGATTAATAAAAATTAATTGCATCATTACAGTGCATGTTCACAAAAACTTGCTGCTTGGCAAGAGACAGCCGAAATAGGACTGGAAAAGCTAAAATTAAGTAGATCAAATAGGAAGGAAGTAAGAAAACCAAAAATATCTAAAAATAAAGGCGAGAGTAAGATTGAATCCAAAAGTATTCCAATTCTTGAGAATATCAGTACAAATACAGTCAAAACTAGACGTAGATCAAGGTGAGCTTACAAAGCTTTCAATTAATTCTAAAAGCTTTACATAAGAATTTTTCCAGATCCACATTTCACAGACTAGTTGAAACTGCCGACATAATATCACATTTAGCTAAAAATACAAAAAGTTCAAGTGCAAAAATAAAGAAGCCAGTAATACAGCAGACACCAACAATAGATACTTTTAGTGCATCAGCAAACACAACAAAGATCCAGCGATTTAGAACGTCATCTTATGTTGCGACGGCTGTTGTGCCATCAAGAAAACATAGAAAATCACTGACACTACAAACACCACCACTGGCACTTTCAACATCGGCACATAAGCAACAGAATAATGATCAAAATAGTGATTCCGAGCCAGAAAATATAAAAATTCCAATACGAAGGACGAGATCGAAATCTCTGAAGATATTTAGGGAGGTAGCAGGAAGAAAATGTGAGAAATTATCATAACTTACAATGGAGCTTTGATGTATGCCTTATAAAATGACCACAAATTAATAAAATGTTCATTTTCGTAGAATTTTCTTACGTTTTTCACTTTATCGATTTTTTAAAAAATTCAATAATTTCATAAATTATGGCATGATTGTACTTACATTCTCGTCTGGGCACTCTATTGTCTCGTTTTCCACAATATCACTCCAACTAGCTATAATTATAGCTCTTGATTTGACTGAATTTTCAGTTATTTGTTTTTTTATCACTCACAAAATTCAAAAAAAATTTCAAAGGTAAACAAAACAAAATTTTTGAATTTCAGATAAACGCTATATAAATTTATAAGGATATTATTCGCAGGATAGCTATGAGGCTCATATTATTATACATATTATACATTATTTAACGTAAAGTGGACGTAAAATAATCAATCAGAGCAAAAAGTTAACTTATAAAAATCACAACAATAATAACAGTCAAAATAAATTCAAATAATTATGAAATAAAATCTTAAGCTTTTTAAAATAATTTCTACAGTTACATTCAATTTTTCAGAAATACACATTTTATTAAATTTAAATAGAATACAATAATCCAATAGTTAACATAAATAGCATGCCGATAGCTAATATAACTGGAATCAATTATTTTGTGTCTTTAGCCAATATTCATGCTGCAGTTCCTTCAAATTCGCTTCTAGCGACTCAATTTCCTCAAATCTCATTGCCTCTCTTGCTTGCTTGATGTATCCTTTGACAATATTGATTTGAATGATTAGAGGATCATTTGCATTTGTTTGGTTTTGCTCTTGATAGCCACTCCAATTGTCGACAGTCCTTAATGCTGATCCCGTTTTTGAAGACGTTGCTGCATATGAAATATCGCCACATAAATCGTACTTTTCAAAAGCTTCTTGCGCTAATCGACGGTCACGTTCAATCTTTTGATTTAATTCCATTACTCTTTTTTGTTGGATCTTCTTTATTTCATCTTCAACTGGAATTTGTGGAAGTTCTAGCATATATTCCTTAATAAATTTAATAACACCCATGCGAAGACTTTTGTGCAATGCCTCTTCCCTGCTACCTTGTTGAGCTTTAAGCGTTAAAGCTTTCTTACTTAAATCATCAAGCAATTCAGCGATAGAACCAATTTTTCCACGTAAAGCACTAGCATCAGCAATTGTGTAGACAGAATCTCCTTTATAAAGACTTTTGATTATTTTCTCATACATTGCAATATCTGGCATCACTTCTTTCTTCAGTGTCTCAATCCTTTCATAGAGTTTTGTTATAAATGGTCTAGCAAGTCTTCCATCCTGCATCTCCTTACGAGTTTCTAGTAAGTGCAAGCAATGTTCACACATTCTTATTGTATCTTCTGGTTCCTTAATAATAACATCTGTTTGTGATGAATCTGGTTTTGGATATTCGTGTGATGGATTTATTATTGACACTGGGAAATGAATTACAATGATTATTTTGGCTATGAAACTTAATATGCTGTGATACTCACTCGACTCGTCAATTGATAAGAAATGAGAACATTCATTACACATAATGGCACCGCATAAACGGCAATGATGTTGTCGTCTTGTAAAGAAGAAGCTCTTAGCACATGATGGACATAACTTGACTAATTTACCATCAATCCAAGGTACCAACTGAAAGGAAAAGTCGTTATAGATCCAGTAGTGAATATAAAAGATCCAGTAAGCAATAAAACCTGTACCTACATTTTGTTCATGCTGCTTAATCTGTTGAGGATCAGTCGGGCGATTGGTTAGTAGCTTATTAAGCCGAATAATTAGCTTATTAGTCTCAGTTGCATACCGTTCTAGTCGTGGATTCCTAATTGCTTTAAAATACTCAAAATGGTCTTTAAAAATACCAATTTCTTGAGGACCCTTAAAGTCAACCCTTATTATCGACTTATTTATGCTCAACGAGCTCTCTATTGCCTTTGAGATTTCCCTCTCGTCTAAATTATTTAAAATTTTCTTCTTAGCACTTTTAAAAACATCACGAAATGTAGAAATTAGATCTTTTTCTTCGGAATGTTCGTCTTCGAAATGTCTCAGCAGATCCTCTGCTGTCTTTTCATCACTTCTACATATTGGACAGAGAAAACCTTCAATTATTTCACTGTCATTATCACTAAACATTATAATTTGAAGAATTTTTGATAAATGTAAACAAGTTGATTTCCCCTAAGTTGATACTCTCCTTTATAAAATTTCAAATTCAAAGTGACGGTTATGTTTTTTGAGAATGAAGATAGCTTGAAATGACATTGCGTTAAACTTGCTATACTTTAAGCCATTGCAATCATTTTTTATTTAATTAAAGACTTGATCAATCAAGCTTCACAATTTTAAAGAGAAGCAAAAAAAATGATGCGAAAAATTTTAAATTTATTTTACCACGTTTTTTTAACAGTTAAGAAAAGATCAAGACTGCAAATCTTCGGTCGCAGTTAATTGAAAATTTTATTACTAGGATCATGTCTTCCGTAAAGCTTCTCAACAGTTTATTAATTATTTTATCAGTCAAATGCGATAAAATGATTATTTTAACCGACTGCAAATCAATTCAAAAATTCCGTATATCCCACAAATCAGATACGCAAGTTAAGTGCAAAGTAAACGAGCTTTAAGTAAATTAGAGGTATGTTTTACATACACTAATCGCACGTAAACATGAAAACGTAAAGGAAAAGCTATATAAAACAATCAGCGAGAGACACTTGCCGTTTAAATTTCTTTCAATTGTCGTTCGAGTCGGATCACGGAATCGAAATCAGAAGTGCTTTAAAAAAAATAAGAAGTGGATAGAAGTTTTAAAAAATTAGTGATTTTCTCTTTTGTTCATACAGTAGAAAATTATTAATTATCAAAAATGGCTGGTCCTATTTCAGCCGAAAATCCTTCTCAAAGCACGTCGATGACAGTTTTCTTCTCACTTTTATTGCCTGCTATAGTTTTATGGTATATCTACTGGAAATTGTCACGTAGACATATGTATAACTTGGCTGATAAGCTTCCTGGACCAAATGGATTACCGTTTATCGGAAATGCTTTAGATTTGACTGGAACTTCTCATAGTAAGTGTCTGAAAAAAAATGTCAACCGGAAATAAAACTTTTTGTTCGCGTGAGATTCATAAGTGATGTGAGAAACGGCTGATATTAAGTGAAATAAACGCATTTAAAGCTAGTGGATTAGAAATTAAATTTCAAACAGAAATTTTTCAAAAATTTAATTTTTCGGAAACACGTGTTTTATCTCACCTCGAAAAACTTTTTATTAAGCATTCACAATCTAAGCATCTTTATTGTACGAAATTTATTGATTAAGCTTTTAAAAAGTGGCAAGATTGGTTATTGTATAATTTGAGTCAATTTTTATTGATAATTCCAGCTCCAAAACATAGAATTTCAACTCCAACTTATTCATGATAAAATGATTTTTTTAGTTTCTTCATTCTCCTCAATTCTTTCTTCTACAACTCAATTACGCTTGCTTAAATTTTTCACATCCCGCGCGATCTACACGAAAACTTCTTCATATCAATTTATTGTTTTCTGTATGAACTTAATCGCAGGGCATATTAGACGATATCTTTTGATAAGAGGAAGTAGTGTAGTAAAGGGCAATCAACCCAAAGAAATCAAACAATAATTTGAAAATTTGTTTAAAATTAAACTGACATCTTCCGAACCGAAAGTAAAAAGTCAAGAGATTATGATTGAGATCTAAAAAAAGAAGAAAATTGAGATTTATGATGCTCATTAATGATAACGTAATATCATTTTCATGTGTCACATTGTTTTTACTTGTTGTTCATTTTTATTTTTGCATGCATGAAAAAGCGACGAGACGAGAAATTCAATTGACTGGAGTGGATATTTTTAGTATTTTTATGCTAAGCGGGGACATTTACATAAATGATGTTTAGAGTTTTTTTTTTGTTTTATGATTATTAGATGCACATGGCTAAATTATTCGTTAATTCAATCAAGTGTCAGCTGCTGTCCATTTTCTCGGATTGCGTGACGTCATTTGACGAAGAATCCTGACTGATATCTTTATGAATCTCATTAGATTTTGTAATTTTCCGGTTGTCATAAAACGGGAAGTTTAAAAAGTAACAAATTAAACTAAAAATATTTTTCCTATCTCTCTCAGCTGTATTTAAGACAATCGTCGAGAAGGGAAAAGACTTTAATAGAGTAATTAAGCTTTGGGTTGGACCTAAATTGATTGTTTTCCTTGTTGATCCACGTGACATTGAGTTGGTATTGAGCAGCCAAGTATATCTTGAAAAATCACCAGAATATCGCTTCTTCAGGCCCTGGTTGGGCAATGGACTTCTCATTAGTTCTGGTAAGTTAATCAATTTCGATTTTGATGGTATTTTATGTACTATTTCGTACTTTCTGGTTGTTTTGTGTCGGATGGAAAGTGTCGGTAAAATGACTTGTGAATTCGATTTTTAAATTTAATCTTGGCATAAAAAGCACGTGCTTGACAATTTATAAAAAGTTTTAATTTTAAAAACGAAAATATGAATAAAAAAGAAGTTGCATTTGGTTGTTGCCACTTTTTTGAAGATTTGCCAGCTAAGCACTAAGAAAATTAAGCTTTCCATAGCATTTAATCTAGAAAAAAAAAATTTATGTGGAGCTAAAGTTTCTCATTTAAAAATAAAGAAGTTAAAGAGCCAAAAAAAATTAAACTGTAAATGCGAAAAAGAGACCATCAAGATTGCTCCAAGAACTCACTTTGTCATTATCATTATCGTCACATAAACTTCATCACGATAACTTTCCATTGCGAAGTTCCCTCAAAAAGAATTTAAATTTGTGGGAGTAGAACAAAACGAAACTGAAAATTATCATATAAAAAATATAATTAAAAATTCAAAGTCACACGTGAAGCATTTAATTAAATAATACTTAACATCAATTCTCATTCTGTTCACATAAGCAATACATAATGCTTTGCCAAAAAAAAGTTGAAATTCAATTGAAAATTGAAGACAAAAATGCCGATTAAAATTCTAATTGAAACTTTGTTGCCTTGCTTTAGGTCAAAAATGGAGAGCTCACAGGAAATTGATTGCACCAACATTCCATCTCAACGTTTTAAAGAGCTTCATCGAACTATTCAATGATAACTCTCGACTTGTATGCAAGAAAATGAAAGCATTGAATGGAAAAACTTTTGATTGTCATGATTACATGAGTGAATGTACTGTGGAGACACTTTTGGGTGAGTAGAACAGATTAGTTTAATATTTTCTTCCTTTTGACCTAGTGACTGTACCGCTATTGTCATCAATATGTTTTAAACCATTATCAATACCGTAAACCTAAATTTACATAAAATTGTGATGCACGTCATCCAAACACTCTCAGATCAGTACTTGACGTGAGAAATTTCTTGTTTTTGCAATTTCTTGAAATCAAAATCTTGTCGTGCAACAACTTTTACCTAAAATTAAACTTCAGTTTTTACTTTTCTGCTGCAACATTTTCAATAGCTTATTGCAAACTCGTTTCTAATGTCGTTTATAGTTTCTGTGTAAACCATATTATCGGTTTCTACATTTTTTTCGCACCTCGACTTCAGCTTGTGGTTGATTTACTTTACTTGGTATGGATTTGTTTAATTTTTGACTTGATTGTTCAATAGAATTAAAAATAAATTTCAATAGACACAATTCAAAAATAAATTCTAGGTCCATACTTCCTGGTCAAGGATTTACAATATTTTTCTAAGAATTATTTTAAATTAAAACCAAGCTAGTTTTCTCAAACAACTTACAATTCAAAAATTTTCTTTATACAAGATGAGAATCTGCACGTAGACCATCCGGTATTAACATGATCACTATTCATTCCATGAATATTCAGTTAAGATAAAATATTATAATGATACCTTATGGATTATTATATGCTCTACTTATTATTCACTTTCATTGAAATTATTCATTAATTCTATGTCATTTCTTCAATCAGAAATTTGTTCTGTGTAATTAGAATCTAATTTATTTGTTTGTTACATTCATTGATCAATTCCTAAGAATTTGAATAAAAACAAAGTTTTTACGAGACTAGACTTCATGGAACTAGAATTGCATTCATGAAATTCAACTTTTCCATGATATGTTCACAAAAAACTGCTTAGTAATGCTAGTTTAACTTAATTTTCGTAATATGATTCTATTGCAAACAAATTATCAATCAATATGCGTCAAATTGTTACATGCAATAATTAAATTAATCAACAAGATTAGTATCTTTATTATTTTTCCATTCGATATGTGTGATGTAATTTTTAAATGCGAATGAATTTTGTCATCATAGTTATTGCATTATGCATCTGATGGTTATTTCTGTTTGAATAAAGTAAATGAAAATGTTTCTGTGATTTTATTCAAGATTTGCTAATCTCATTGAGGTTAATTTGAAAATTTCAAAATGCCAATAACTTATAAAGTTTATAGAGTAAAAATGTAATATTTCATTCTTGCTCCGTTCTAATTAAGCTTTTGGAATAAATCAGTCTGTCAGTAATTATCAAAATAATTTAAAAATCAAATTGAAATTCTCGATGTGAAGGATCTTAGCAGAAATGTTATTTTTGACCCAATGTCACTAAGGAAATTAATATTTACCTGATACTTTTATTAGGCGTATTGCTTATTTAAAACATGTTCTTATAAAGTTCCATAACACTTTACGTAATTTAATTCAATTTTTTTCCAAGATACTGAACCGAATGAAACGAGTTTGAGCTCTGCATTAATAACTTTTCACTTTCTTCATATGATCATGCACATTACGTCTGTAAATAATAATTATTAATCGCAACTAGTTTGCTATCATTTAAATACACAAAATATTACTATGAATTAGAGAAAGTTCCTCGCTTAGAAATTCATTTCATCCTAAAAGACATAATAATCATCATTTTATTTTCTCTCGTAGAAACTGCAATGGGAGTCTCACGAAAGACGCAAGATCAATCTGGTTTTGACTATGCAATGGCTGTCATGAAGATGTGTGACATATTGCATCTTCGTCATACAAAGATTTGGCTTTATCCTGATATTCTCTTCAATCTAACCAAATATGCCACAGCTCAAGTTAAGCTCCTTGATGTCATACACAGTCTCACAAAAAAAGTGATCAGAAATAAGAAGGAAGCTTTTGCAAAGGGAACTCGAGGAACATTGGCAACACCTGAATTTATTAAACCAGAAGAAAAGGAACAAAAGAAGGAAGAAGTCAAGAAAACATCAACAACAACTGCTCCAACCCTTGAAGGTATGAATTTTGGGCAAGCTGCTGGATTGAAGGATGATCTTGATTTTGATGACGGCATGGATGTTGGAGAGAAGAAGCGATTAGCTTTTCTCGATTTATTACTTGAAAGTGCTGAAAATGGTGCTGTTATATCTGATCAGGAAATTAAGGAACAAGTTGACACTATTATGTTTGAAGGTCATGACACCACTGCTGCTGCATCAAGCTTCTTTTTGTCAATGATGGGAATTCATCAAGATATTCAGGTATGGAGGATTTTGCTTTAACAATCCGTCAATATTAGGGCACATTCAATCAATATTTGTTTAATTCTAGACCAAAGTTGTTGAGGAACTTGACCAAATTTTCGGTGGTTCTGATCGTCCATGCACATTCCAAGATACCCTGGAAATGAAATACCTTGAACGTTGTATGATGGAAACCCTCCGTATGTATCCACCAGTTCCAATCATTGCTAGACACATGAAACATGATTTGAAACTTGCATCTGGTGATTATTCAATTCCAAAAGGTGCCACTGTTGTTGTTGCTACATATAAATTACATCGTCTTGAATCAATCTATCCAAATCCAGACAAATTTAATCCTGACAACTTCTTGCCAGAAAAAACAGCAAATCGTCATTATTATGCATTTGTACCCTTCTCAGCTGGTCCACGTTCATGTGTCGGTCGTAAATATGCAATGTTGAAGCTTAAAGTCATTCTATCGACAATTTTACGTAACTTCCGTGTTATTTCTGACTTGGGCGAGGAAGATTTTCGTCTTCAAGCTGATATTATTTTGAAACGTGAAGAAGGCTTTCAGATTCGCCTTGAACCACGTAAGCCACGCGCTAAACAAGCACCTGCATCGTAAAACAATATTTCCACTACTTTATGTTTATGATTATTATTATAAAAATTCAATTCAATTAAGTTTTTTTTTCTGCATTTGCATGGTAGCGGTATTCTCTTTTCCTTTTTGCTATATAAATGGAAGTTGTGCCACGTGAGGTGTCTATTATATTATTTCAATTCTGATTAAAGCATTTGCAGTCATTTATATCAGAACGTCAATGGAAAAGAAATTTTGAAACAAATGAGAATCTTTGCATTTTAGACCTCAGTCACAATAATAGATAATAGAGTGGTTAAACCATAAACCCCTTATCCTTTGTTACGTCCTTGATAGGCAGCCATAACGATTGAAATTTAAAAATTACAATATAGAATCCTAGAATTAATATTAACATCTAAAATCAATAGCTTAAACCTGTCAGAACTATTGGTATTAAAAACAAAAGTAATCTTGAATATGTACAACTGTCTCGTTTCTCATGAATGAATGGATGTTATGTAATCTCTCGTAAAAACTTTCTTATTAATCGAGAATTTTATTAATAAAAAGAACAATTTATATAAAAATAAAAAGAAACGTGTTGCATTAATTTATGAAATAATTGGAAAAACTCGTGAGGTCTGCAACATCTGCAATAGTCGTGTGATCATTATTATGGATATATACAGATGATTTTGATATCTAAGCACTTATAGTACTTGAGAAAAATTTGAAGAGAGTTAAGCTTTACTTATTGAGAAGAAATCAATTGAGATTAAATTGTAAATTTTTTAAGTTATAATTTAAATGAAGTTTAATAAACTATATTGAGCTTGGTAGGATTCAGAGCCCTTTTAGTCTAAACAATATCATATGCTAAAGTTTTGATCAGAAGCTATTTAGCTACTGTTAATTTTTTATAGAAAAAATGACTTATTTTCTTAATATTTTCATTGACACATCCTTTCTCTCATTTTATTATTAACTTTAAAAATATTTAAACATTAAATTGTGAAGAAATGTTCTCTATCAGTGAGTAAAGTCAAGTAAAAGATTGTATTGCTATTAAAATCATTGTCATAGTATCAGGAAAAAAGTTAATAAATTAAGCTTAAACCGACGACTCGTAAATGATTATTTGAACCAACTGTGGTTTCTGCATGTGCTTTATTGACACTTTCTTGAGAATCTCTTTTGTCATTGCTTCCAGTGCATCAATTTCTTCCTGTTCCTTTTTATTCTTGTTGTTCTTTTTTGTCATTGAAACCTTAAACATTAGAAATGTTAAATTCAAATTTACACAAATTTTGAAACATTTAAATACTCACCACCGATAATATGGACCTCAAATCATTAACATCGATGGCTCCATGACTTTCTCCAAGTCGTTTCAATGAATCCGCAAATGATCCAAACTTAAGTTGCTGTAATTTCTCCCAACTACGAATGTACTGCCTTCTGACTAGCTCAATAATTGTACTCGTCAATGCCAAACCTATTAAAATATACACCGTACAAAGCAGCATCAAATATTCTCCAGGAACTAAATCTCCAAGACCGACAGTTGTCATTGTGATGAAACTGAAATAAAAGCCATCAAAAAATGACCATTTTTCCCATTGCATAAACACAGCAGCGCCAGCTGATAAATAGACTCCGAGAAAGAGAACAGCTCCAAGTGCATAAAGCCATTTTCTGCCTTTCATTTTGTGAAATTTTGAATCTCTGTTGCACATTTCTGAAATCAAAAAAGTTTTAATGCTTAAGTCACTTTCGATATTGTGATTGATAATTACCGAGCTGTTTACATTTTGCAGCCAGTGCAGATACAGAATTGGCAAATAGACTACCATAGTCAGCAATCACAGAGAGCGTAAATGGAAGTCCAAAAATTGCAAAAATTATGCAAAATAAACGGCCTTCAAATGTCACAGGTGCTATGTTTCCGTATCCTATTTTGAGGGGAGATGTGCAGGAATATGAGTAGACAAAAATTGAAGAACATCTACAAACCTATCGTAGTGCAAATAGTTGATGCAAAGAAAATAGCCTGCATGAGTGTCCATTTTTCTGACTGTACAGGAAACGCTTCAGGATCAGTAGCATTCAAATCTGTATTAACCATCTGTAGATTTCCTTCTACAGCTTGCTGAACTGCCTCCTCATAATATTTTAATTGCTCCGATAAATATGAAGTGTCTAAGTAATTTTCATCTTTTGCATACAATATATCATTAATAAATGTACTGCGGCTGATTGAAATGTTTCTTCTTAATTGCTGTTCAGCATCTTTCATTGGTTCTTCTTCTATTCGCACAAATACCTAAGAATTAAATTCGATGCATAAATTACTGAAGTAATTTAAGATATTTTTGCGTGATTTTGAATTTACTTCGAGCTTAACAGGAATCAATGGGGATCAAAATCCTACTTTTACGCCTTAGAAAATTAAAGATTTAGATGGACATAACAAAAAAAAATTATTGCTATAGTTTTATACAATAAATCAGACAGATGATTTCATTACAAATTAAGAACACGCTACAACATTTATCAGACTATTAATATTTCGCTGTAACCCATCAGCTTTAATCACTCTTTTAAAATCAAATTAATTTTCTTCATTTTACAGTAATTCTTTCAACGAAATCGCCAATCTTGTCTCATTTATTGACAAATCTCTTCTCACATTCATCTTAAAAAATATTTCACAAATTTAATATTTTGAGAGAAAATATTTTCGAGAATTATTTTATTAAGGAGAAATATTGAAAGATCACGAGAGTTAATCGATCCCATCGTTTATTTTTTATGTCAGACAGAAATGTCTTTAATGTGTAAACAATTGTTCATGCTATATTTTTTTTTTGTTATCTTTTCTTCTTTTTATTGCAGAATTTTTTTCTTTATTTCCTTTGCCACTTGATGAAAACTTTTATAATAAAAATAAAAAAAATCTTGAAGGTCTTTTCATGTTTTTCCGCAATCACATGTGTCTATGAGTTACAACAGAACCCTTCAATGGATTAAAATAGTTGCGTGTAAAATATGAATTGCAATTATAAAAGTTTTAATTCATAAAGTGCCTTTTATAATTAAAATTAACCTGATTTTGAGTATAATAATATTTGCTATTTGGATGGGGGAGCTTATCAGGGTTAATTCCAATTGGGAGCATAGCTGCGGCTTAGCCAACCTTCAGATATTATTTAATGATTTTTAAGCTTCACCTCTGTTTTATATCCTCAATATGAAAGGGTAAAAGGTAAGGGAACTAACAATATGCAGCAATGTTATCACAAAAATTCACGAGATCCATTAAAAAGCACTACTTTTTTCATAACTTCGTTAAACTTTAATGGCATGCATGGAACTTATGTTTTGTCGAATATTTAATTTTATGTGAATTTTATGGAAACAGAAAAAAGCTTGAAACATGTTTTTACTTCTTTGGATTATGAATAATAAATTAAATGTGATTTCTAGTGTCTCTTACATCAGCAAAAAAATAAGAAAATGAACTGAATATGGAATTTCGCAAATGATTTATAATGTAAACTGAAATTTTAATAGATTTTTTTAAGAGTCCAGGAGTGAATTTATTTCTAGAACTCAATATTTAATGGAAGTTATATTTATTTTCAGAAAGGTTTTATTAGCTTGGTTTATTATTCATATAAATAAACCATATTAGTACATAGTATAGGTCATAGATTCAGTTTACTTCCCCCTAGTGATTGTTTATAGGCAGAAATGGCTTATAGCTTTAAAGATACTTTTTAAATACGATTTAATGACTTGCTCAAAACTCTATTGATTTATTGTCAAACTTAAATTTTAAATGAATGTCCCGCTATCACAAACATAAATCTCAAAATGATGTGCCTGAACATCACTAAATAAAATCCAATCAAATGAACATTAATAAGTCAATGAATTTTGGTTAATGTTCCACTTAATTTCAAAAATCCTTCCACAAATCAGCCTCGTCAGCCAATAAATCAATCAAAAGTTCATCATTCTTTTCTTTGAATAGTACACACGTTGTATTCTGTAGAGTTTAACATGTAAACAGCGATATAGAAAAAAATATCAATCTCATGAATATGTATCAACTTTCATCTTTACGCTTCCAAATGGCAGATCACATCATCTATATTACACATCTATGCCGCCAAACAGTCAAAATATAGAAGACTATTAGACTTATTGTTTATCTTTTTTTTCCCTCATTTTCCACTTCTTTTCTGTGAAAATTGCCGTTTTAAAGAGAAATGTGAGGGAATTTTTTTTTTCACTGTGCTATTAATAGTTTATCGTAATTTCTTAATGGCTTTGCCCTCTTATTCACTAATTTTCAGGCTAAATTTTTGTATACGTTTTACTTCTCATGACTGTTGAGATAAAAATGAATATCGAAAGTTCACGTTAATGAGCTGTTTGAGCGAGGTTTTCGGATGTGAGATAAATTTTATCGATTTTTGGCTTATTTAGTATTTAAGGAGGATAATGAGATCTTATGCTACCTTTGCAAGAAACGAATTCAAAAGTTTAAGAACCCAAAAATATAGTAGGATCCTACATATGTAAAATTCGTATTAACCCCAATAAAACCGCGCTTAACCCAACCAAAAATAAATTGCTTCCAATAATTAATCATTAAGGTAAGACGAAGAATTTCAACTTTTCTATCCGAAACGTCACAAAACATTTCGAAGAAAAGAATTTTTTGCAAAAATACAAATGTGAGTGAATTTATTTTATTCCTACAAAAATATTTCTGAAGTCCTATGCCATTTAAAAAGTAAACGAATAAATCATGTCTCACATCCTACAATTATGATATGAAATTTCAACTAGTCGACATCTACTCACATGATTTCGTTTCATAATCATTATGTTACTAATTTCATATATCAAATTCCTCAGAAGTAGGGTTACCATCTAATTTTCATGAAAATACAGGACTTTTGGTAAATTTTTTCGAAAAATACAGGACATAGAGTAAAATTCGAAAATTAACGGAAATTCTCGTGAAAAAAATACAGGACCTGGAACAAAGTTTTCAAATTTATACAGGACAGGGTTTTGAAATACAGGACTGTCCGTTGTAAAACTACGCAGATGGTCACCCTACTCAGAAGAAATTGTTCAAGAAGATGTCGTTTAACTTCAACATCTTGGCAGTATTCCAATGTAGTCAATAGAAATGAAAAGATTACTATTGATAAATTCTCATTTAATGATGCTATTTCGTTACGGAACGCATTCTAATAAATTGTATTCAGACGAAACAAGAGAAACATCCAATTGACTACAAATTTTTTCTTCTGTTTGCCTTTACAAATGGAAAAAGGAAGGAAATTTTAAGAAAAAGAAGAAACTTTGAAGGTCTCACGTTTCAGCCTTTATGTTGAGCATAAGTAGAAACGGAAGTTTCGGCTGAATTTTGATGAGGACTGCTCGGAAATTCAATTTACATGCTTATTGTTGTGTTAATGTGCGGGAATTTTCCTGTAAGTAATAATTTTATTTGTTTAGCAGTTCTATGGGTTTTGCTGGATTTTTAAGTCGTGAGCGTTGTGCAAATTTTTGTCATATGAAAACCTAGAATGTGAAAGATCCTAGAAACCATAATCCAAACATAGAACTAGTTTATTTGATAATCACAAGACCATTCCTAATTAAGTATTCAAACTGGCATTTACTTCCCTCATTATTCTTTTTTTGCTCATATTTTACTTTAGTTTTATGATAATTTTATTCAATAAAGCAAAACAATAAAAAAATAAAGAAAGAAAATTTTCTTCCTTCTTTATAAGAACCACATAGTAAATGTCATAAAAAAGCAAAATAAAAGGTCATTTATTACATCTCATTTCATTTTCAATGTTATAACTCAAACAGATGGAAATTTATTACTTATTTTTCCCTTGACAATTCTCGTTCTTATATCTATAGACTGTAGGGCGGAAAACTAGTGGAAAATTGAAGAAGACATTCAGAAGACGGAAGGACATTGATGATCAACATGTTGTTGGTAGGAACAACAACAAAAAATCATCACAATTACACAGTCAACATTAATAAAAAGTCATGAAATTGCTGTGTAAATAAATAATCATTCATCTCTGATGTCTCGTTTATTTTAATGTTTAATGATTCATAAATGAGAAAAGTTAATTGAGGACATTGTAGGAAGAAGAAAAGCAGTCACAAAACAGGTGAGAAAATGATGAAACACTTCCAAACACACACGCTTATAATAATTTGTTTCCGCTGTTTTTCACTTTAATTTTCATGTTAAACGGCCCGAAATTTTTATTGACGCTCTTTAAGTGGACTTTTTTATGTTGACATTTAATTAGATCTCAGGGATTTCAGTGGATATATGTTTTTCAAACATGATCGTTTTGATGAAAATTAAGCTGAAATTTTATTATGATTTTTAAGTGTCATTCTTTTATTGTATTACAAGATGTAAGTTGTTGGAATGTCTCAACACAATTTGCTGAGACTATTTAACTTGGATTAAGGTTTGAGTCTTTTGAAATTTAATCTAAGAAATTAAATAATCTAAACTGATTTTCACGAATAAAACTGCAAATGTATGCCAGTCAATAAATACCCCCCCCCCCCCCCCCCCCCTTCAAAAAGAAAAATATAAACTACAAATGATGAACAAGCGTTAAAGTAAACACAACAGCGTTAAACTGTCGACAATTTTGTTGTTTTTCATTTATTTGCATTTGTCTGAGAAAATTCCTCGTTGGCATCATCATAAATAATCAAATTTAAAAGCACGTAAACTAAAAGATTCACAAACATTACGAATATTTTCTGTCTTTCACACTCCTAGACGACTTTTCCACTAAAAATAATCATCATTTTCATCTTACTTCTATTTTTCTTCAATCGTGGGATTCAATTGTTACAATTGAAATGCGAAGCACATGCGGTTTTAGCCGATATAAATAGATCTCATTATACAAAACAGTCTTTTAATGTTTTAAATACGCTTTTCACCATTATATATATCTTTTTGCTTTGCAGTTTTTTTAGAATGAATGAAATAACGTTTGGTCAAAAATGTTCAGTTCTGTGCGCCACACACAGCAGGAAAAGAAAATAATAAGAATGATTTGTTTAATTAATTTAATCGTGATTATTTTCTTCGTTTAGATAAAATCCAGAAGTCTTGAAAATTTGCATCCACGAAATCAACAAAGTTGTAAAAATCTTATAAACAGTAAAAATGGATTTTTCAGGTAAGTGCTAATTTTGGATAAACAGAAATGATTAAGTGGGTCTAGTGATCTGAACTAGTTTCGCTTAACATGAAATATAGTCGTTTCTATCTTGATTACGTATACTCCAATGTCGATTTGTGCGACTATTCAACTACAAACATTAGTTCCTGTTAATCTTGAAGTAGTTTTTCGGTTAAAAAATATCTTAATCTATTAATAAGGTTCATTAGTAACAATTAATCACCTACCCAACCACCACCATAGCAATACAAAGCTAAGCCCAACAGCAATCCAATATGACTAAATGCTGCCTTAATTCCAAACTTATCCAAATAATACAAAAACTTTCCACAACACGTTATCGGCTTTTTCACTGCATCATCACTCTTTTCAACATCATCACTCTGTAGCATATCACCGTTCAGTATATTTGTGTTATTAACAGATGGCTCATTATTGTTTACCTCAAAATCAACACGTTTCACGAATATGTCTTCCTCTTCACCCATTTCTTTTTTTTTATTTCTATCTCAATTCTAATGCTTTTCGTCCATAAATTACAATTTTTGCTTATTCAATTCCTTTGTGGATTTAAATTGATGGTTAATTAATTTTAATTTTATGATGAAATATGGCTGAAGATTTTTTTTTTTCTCTTGGAAATTTCACTGCCCACAAAGTTATTTTAACAGATTTCTGTGGGATTTAAAATAATTTCAGGAATTTCAAATTTTTAAATTTTTTCTTCGTAATTTTTTAATTTAAATTTCTACTTTTAACTTAAATTTAAGTATCGACCGTTATAAATTTTAGTATTTAAATTTTGACTTATGTATGCCTATTTTCGTCCTAACGCTGCGACTCTCAACAAATAACTGAGAAAAGTTTTCTGAATGCAAAAGCGGTTCTTCTTGTGATATTTCCACATGAGAAAGAGTCGAGAAGAAAATGAAAATTGAGAAAATCACGGAAAATTTCATTCATGATATTCGTAAGCACGTGAATATTTTGAATATTCTCACGACATGCATAGTAAATGCTCATTTTGTTATGTTTTTAAATTAATCTGTGCATAAATTATGAATGATCGTAAAAAAATAAATATGTGAAAATTTTAATTGGATGTTTAAGATGGAAAAGTTTTCAAAGAAGCAATCAAAACTGGATAACAATGTAGATTTTAGTTCCCTTGAGCTTATGCAATCAAGGATTAATGTGCTTTCTTGTTTCGTCTAGTTTAAAATAAGGACATTTAAGCTCATTAACCCAGGGTTCAAACCCAGGCCATGTCTAATTTTCGAAGCTCTTTTTCCATTTCACCGTTCTAGTTACGAAGCTCGGTTCGTGTGTTGGGTGCAGTTTTGAGGTCTTTGGGACAGAATATGCCTGCTTTGCTAGGCACACAAGGATATACTAGCATCTGGATCTTGCGCACACGAATTGTGACTAGGTACAGGTAGGTTGCAGGGTACATCAGGTCTTATGACGTACTCGTGTCATTTTGCAATGTGGCGAGCTTGCAAGTGGTTCGGATCCCACTATAAACTGTAGGTCTAAAGGGTGTGGTACAATAGATTCTGTTCTAATTTGAATCGCAGTGCCTCCAGCTGAAAGGCTGGGCCCTTCAACCATTATTATTATAATTAAAGCTCATCATAAAAGTATCCAATAATTTACATATAACGGTTTTCAAAATTTCAAATTATTCATGTTCACTAAAGGCTGTTCACCAATTAAGTAACGCAAAACTTGGATTAATTATAACCCCCCTCCTTCGCATCTTTGCCACAAAATTTCTGACCAACCCTCATCCCCCCAAAAAACGTTACTTAATAAGTGAACTGCCCCATGTTTACATTAAATTGCGAAAACAAAGAAGTTCAAAAATAATTTTCTTTAAGTAAACTTAATTTTTACACGACAATCGTTTATTATGTCAAGCGTAACAGTACTTACTCCTCATGGACGACGTCAAGTGGTTAAAATAGAGCCTAACAAGACTATATTATGGGTAAAAAACAGCAAAATTTCAATATGCCGAGTCATCGAATAATTTTTTTGTAAATTAATTATAGATTTTGGAGAAAGTATGTGAGAAATACACCGAGTTCCAGGCTGAAGACTATAATTTAAAGCACCACAATAAAATTGTCGACTTAAATCAGTTCTTTAGATTCTCTGGTTTGCCGAATAACTGTAAAATATTAATAATATTGATATTTGGATGTTTTTAATTAAGTATTGCACTTTTCAGGCACTCTAGAGATGTCTGAGAGTGGCAAGAAGCGAGTTGAGCAAGACGTTGTCATTTGTCTTCAATTAGAAGACGGAACTCGTTTAAATGGAAGTTATCAGCCTACAAAGACACTGTATGAAATAATCACAGATATGTGTCCCGAAAAGTCATCAAGTGACCAAAGTCCAGTAGTTATCTACATGAGGAATGAAATTCACGGTGATAATTTAAATACGACAACTTTAAAGTCTCTTGGTTTGACATCTGGTGGACGTGCATTATTAAGACTGATTAATTCAGATCCAGAAAGTTTAAAAGTTCAAGCAAATGTGTCAGCACCTTTGCCTCAAAAACCAAAAGAGGAGGAAGATGATAAGCCAAAAGCTAAATCAAGTGGTGAGCCATCAACATCATTTCAGCTTCAAAGTTTCCAACAGTTAAAAGACGAAGTCAAAAAGGTAGCAAATCAACCAAAAGTGGATATGGATGTTGATGAAGGCTTTAAGGAATCTGAACCGGAAGAAACTCCTGTCAAACAGCCAAACAAAGAAGCAGCAACTCAGAAAGTCATTGAATCTATTGAACCAGTTCAACCACAAGCAGATTCAGTTATAAACATATTAGATAGTCGCGGAACTATAATTTTCTCTTTAGATTCCATTCAAACTTCAACAATTGACTTGCCAGATAGCTTTTTCGAGCTTACTGAATCTGATGTCAGGTTGCTGTATAAAGAGCTTCGCAATCAAGTAGAAAATGACGAAAATGCTCCACTAATGACGTCAGAATTGAGGAAATTGGAAGAGAATAAAAAGATACTGAATCAGTTAGCGACTTACAAGAGCTGTGCCATACGTATTCAGTTTCCAAATCGTCATGTGATACAAACGAAGTTTTCAACTGTCGAGACTGTCGGTGCCGTTATGGATTTTATTAAAGAATTTCTAATCAATCCAGATGTGGAGTTTTATTTGTGTAAGATTTATTTTCAGTTTTTTCAATCATATCAAATTTTAATCAATTTTCATCTCATTTACAGTTCAAACACCACCAAAAACAATTCTCGAAAAATCCTCAACATTAGTTGAAGCAAATTGCGTTCCTTCAGCGTTGTTACACTTTGGATGTGATGAAAAGCCCGATGATTTTCTTAAACCTGAATATTATGACAAATTGTCATCAGGATTTGGTGCCGCGCGAGTCCTTTTGTCATCAAATGATGCTCAAAGTCATGCAGATGATAGCGAAGCATCAACATCTTGTTATTCTGCACCTAAAAACTTCTTGGAATCTAAATCAAGTGCAAAACCTAGTGGAACTGTACCAAAATGGTTCAAACCTAATAAGTAAATTGCGAAAAAAAAAGTATTCATGTATCCTTAATAATCTATTTTTTTTGTATCCGTCATAGACGGGACATTATTTGTTAAATAAAGTGCTTTAATATTGGAATCAATTAGTTTTTGTCAACCTAGTTGTTTATAGTCATGCAATTAAACTGCGTCAGTAGTATTGTTACAGGTGTTTTGATAAGCACGTCTGGTTTGAAAACTAATTTAATGCGAAAACATAGTCAGTTGAAGAAGATATTTTGAGCTGTGTAGTATCTTTAAAATGATAAAAATAGCTTTATTGGCTGTAATTGTCTGTTTTGTAGGTTGCGCATATGCACTTCCGAATTATGATGCTGACGATTTGGACGATGATGGTGAGGGTAAATTTAGGATTCCTTAAATTATTAATCATGGTTTTAAATTGCAGAATTTGATAGATTAATGGCTGAACTTGAGGAAAATGGATCGAAGGAGTTCGAAGAGTAAGTTACAAAACCATACAAATGATATCAAAACTTACAACACTTTTTGAAATTGTATGGTTTTCGAGCATTCACAAGTTATTCAAATTTTACAAAACCGTTACATTTCAAATCCGATAAACTATTCATTTTAATCCACAGAAAGTACACAATTCCTACTACAACCACTCAGAGAACTACGACAAACATCATATTTAATGAAAAACTTTATTCAAGTATTCGAGAAGCTAGAAGTTCTTTTATTCGAGCTAGTAATTATTTTGATGATATTGTTCTTATGAAGAAAAATCAAGTGAGGAAGTTCTTCGGCTATTCAAGTGATGAGAGTATCTAATTGTCAGAATCGATGCACAAAAGTGAAGTCTAGAAACCTCACTTATCTTAACGGTTTTTTAAAATTTAAAAAATTTGCATGAATAGTTCAATCAGAAAATTTTCAATTTAAAACTCACAATAGAGCTCAATAAATGCACTACAATTAAGTATTTAAGCATAATAAACGTGTTAAATCAATAGTTTATTGTCTAATTAACATATTTACATTACAAAATCTTCGTACCTATCAAAAAGGGGTCAGCAGGAATCAATAAAAATAAAAACAGAGCAAATTTCACAAGTAATTGATCAAAAAGAACTTAATTACAGCTTAAATAATTGCCACAATAATTAAATCGTGATTATAGAAATATTGAAAAGTGTTTAAACGTAAAGAATACGCACATTAAAAGATGGACTGCGATGAGGAAGTTAATGACACACAAGTGAAAAATGATTCAAGCGATATTAATTCATTGCTAAATTCCCTCGCATCGTTAAATACAAATGAGAAGGATGACTTGGTTGTGCGTTTCCAAAACATTGCTAATGAACTTAGTTATACTACGGCTAGATTCTTTTTAGAAATGAATAATTGGTGAGCATTATGAAATTTCTTTACTGGATGTTTTTTTTACAGCTTACAGCACACAACTTTTTTGTTTCCTTTGTTTTGCGTAAAAAATTATTCTTTTTACTGCGTCACAAATATTGAATAATTCATGCTGATTGCGATAATTTAGACATCAATAAATACATAAGATTCATTGAGATTATTGCACAAATTCCTTAAAATACAATAACGGAACTGAGTTAAATTTTTGCATTCCATTTTAGGAATCTTCAAGCAGCAGTCGGATGCTATTTCGACTTTTTAGCAAGCTCCAATCAAAATAGTGCAAATGTGCCAATGCCTTCGATGCGTGTTGTACGAGAATTGACTTGTGGACTAGGAGAATCAGTAACACCAAATACACAATTTCAACAGAGCTGGATGCTCGAGAATAATGGTGATGTTCCATGGCCACAAGGGTGCTATTTAAAACTCGTATCGGAAATTAATAATGATGGAAAGATGTTTGTTCCATCAATTACACCTCGTGATACACACATCATAACAATAAATCTCGTAAGTCCAGCTGATGTTGGGCAATTTAAGTCACAATTTTGTCTATGTACACCCAATGGTACGACATTCGGACCAATTATATGGAGTGTTGTTGATGTGTCTGTCGCTGGCACTTTAGCCCTAACACAGCAATTACAGCAGCTTCATACGTCATCACAGCCGCCCAAAATGCATAATCAAAATCAACAGCAACAAACGGGATGGGAAGATGATGGATATGGTATGGATACAGGAGGTTCGCAGAATGTTCAATCAACGGCACTCGTGCCGCATTGCAGTAACGGAATCACTAGTGAACCATTTCCAATAGCTAATCAAGTAAGAATTTTAATTTTTCATCTCTTTGTGTTACTCTTCTTATTTCCTTAAATGAAAGTGATCCAGTTATAAAGAAATATGTAGTGTAAATGTTCGTTGTGAGAGCTTTTGTTTAGGCATTGAAATGTGCAGGTGCTAAAATGAGTCATTTGGATGAATTGACAATTTATTTTCGTCTAGAAACGAATAATGCAAGTTGTCATTGAATATGTTTGAATTAATGTCTACATAGCTTAGATAAGATGCTTCTGTGAAATTCTATGATCATATCGATAAAACTTTAAAAATCACATCTACACGATATCCTCTATCTATATCAGAATATCAATATTTATTGCCAATTTCCATGAAAAAACTAGTTCTTAATAATCTAATTTAATTAAGTTTATAGTCATGCGAATGATACTCAAATACCCTTAATATCAATCCTCTAATTTAATTTCAGAGTCAACTGCCAGCACCCCAAAACTCTCCAAATACGAACGATGAGGAGATGTACGAGAAGATCAACAGTCATAACTTGTAGATTCGAGTTATTATCGTTTAATTAAACTGTTAATGTTAATTAAAACACGCTGTAAATCATTGAATATTTAAGAAGAAAAATCAATTGAATTAGCGATAAAAAAAGCGGAAAAAATCATCGATTTAAATCAAATTGACTCAGTAAATGCAATTTGCTAAATTGTAATTTATTGTTTTTATTGCGAATGTTGAGAAAAATGTTTCTTGATTTTTATTACGTATATATTTTATTGTGGATTAGTATGTCATTTAAGATTTTATAATTTCCTTTTTTTTTTCATTTCATTTATAATCGTATAGACGATCAGAATCCTTATTTGTAATGTAACTTAATTTTTTTTTTCGTCAATAATGAAATTTTTTTGTAGTCCTTTGTATTTTTGTCCTTATTAAATGCAGCTAAGTTATAAATTTGTAAAAAATAATGAGAGAAAACAATAATTTGCATTCGATAGGAAAAAATATTAAGAAGTAAAAATAAATAAAATAATGAGTTAAGTTGATGAAATGGATGAATTCATAATTGCTTTAAGGATTGTTTCAGATCAACAGCAATAATAGCAACTAGATACTTTTACTGGTTAATTTACGAGTTCGAGTCTAAGTCGAAGCTCTGACGTTGGATTGAGAAGCAAGCCAGTAATTTAAATTTTAGATAGCTCTAGATGACAGAGGATCTGAAGGATCTGTAAAATATTTAATCAACTCAATCAATATGGGGCCGTTCACTTATTACGTTACGCAAAAAAACGACTTTTTTTTCACCCCCACCCCAATAATTTATTTTATTTTGATAATTTTTCATAAATCATTAAAAAGGTGGAAAATTTAAAAAAAATGTTTTTGGTGTGACTTTTTCAATTTTTCAAAACCACCCCCCCCCCCCCTTATGTTACATTTTGTTACAATTTTTCAAAACCACCCCCCCCCCCTAAAATGCCCCCCCCCCCCTATGTCGTCGGGCAGTCAATATTACATTGCTTGAAACGACTGCAACTTGCTTTATCCTTTCTTATGCATAAATGTTCTTCAATCATTAATTCAGCCTGATTATCGTGCAACTCTTAACAGGACTTTAAAATATTCAGTGTCGGAAACTCCAACTTAAACTTGTCACTAAAAATGAATACTTACTTTCCTTCAGTTTTGTCCAGAACTTCATTGTGACAGAAAGGAAATCATAAAGATGCGAAAAGTCTTCGATAGAATTCAGCAAAGTCTTCAAAATGCTGAAAACTTCTTTAAACTCAAACTTCGAAAGACCAAAACAACACTCACGTACATAGAATTTCAAGACTTTCTATGTTATGAAGAATCTGCGATGATTTTAGGCTTCTCATTTTTGAGACGTCCTGGAACTTTACCAACTTAATTGGTAAAGCTGAATAATCTTATGTTTCAACTCACATTATTTGTCTACATGATCTTGGAATCGATATCGTTCATTTTATCAGCCAAGAAGAAGCTCATGTACATCATGATAGAGAATGTTTTACTTTGTGGATTAGAGTCTATCGCTCTCGTCAAAATGCATGTAGTTTTAGCTCGAAATCGGAATGTGATTGCTGAAATTCTAGACAAACTAGACGAACACTTTCCACATGCAGGAGTCGATCAAATCAACTTCAAGATCCATAAGTATCTGCGGACTTTGAAAATCTTCAAAACTTTGTATTATACGTCATTCACTATAATTGACTTGAGTTTAAGTTTAATGCCAATCTTTCACAAGATTTATGGATCAATCAACTCAATATTTGTTGAATGGGAACTAATAGTGACAATGGAATTGCCATTTGATCAGCAACAGCCAATCGTATACGAAGCGTTGTATATACTTGAAATTTGGATTGTTATATTTTATGCATTTTATGTCATTAGTACGGATATGTTATTTGCATGCCTAATTCAAATCTTGGCTATGGAGTTTGATATTCTTGGGCAAATTATGAGTGAAGTTGACGTGACTAAAAGTGAAGAAGAAGCTATTAAAGAGCTCAAGAAGTTAATCAATATCCATCAACAACTGATTGAAGTCTCAGAAAAATTGGATGACATCTTTGCACCATTGCAGCTCATTAATGCTTTTGGATCAATTACAGCACTGTGCACCACAAGTTTCTTGGCAGTGGTAAATTGAAAATTTGGTGTGAATATGAAATGTTAATTTAGCAATAACATCATTGTTTCAGTCAGGAATCAGCGATTACTTTATCGCGAAATACTTTATGTTTCCTATATGCTGTTCACTGCAGATTTTCACGCAGTGCTATTTTGCACAGCGATTGATTGAGTAAGTACAACTTAATTTTCTCTATCTGCTATGGCTAATTTATGTATAGCTCAGAGCTGCGAAACAGGCACCTGTGACAGGTGAAAACCCTACAATTCCTTGATAATTTATAAGGTTTTCCTAACAAAACCATACAAATTATCAAGGAATTGAAAGGTTCTCACCTGTATAGCTCATCAGAATCGGTTTCTGAAGCAGCATACAGCATTGAATGGTACTCATGCAGTGTAAAATTCCGACGACTTGTTCTTCAAGTCATGGTTAGAGCTCAAAAAGCTCAGACAATTACAGCATTCAAGTTCTTTAATATGTCTCTGGAAATCTTTCAATGGGTAAAGTTTTTGTAATCTTTAGAGTGGAAAATTAATATTATTTTAATTGGTTCCAGATCGTCAATACATCCTATTCATATTATTCTGTCCTACAAGCAACGTATAATTTTTAAATTTATGGCTTAGAGTTGCAGTATACTTCTCTACGAGATTAATTGAAGACATTTATCATTTATCCCAATGTTAATCGTGCATATTTAAACATGCCTATGGAAATAATGTCTAAAGTTTAATTTGAAGTACTGGGCGTCAGAAGCTTCAACAAAACTAGTCATTGTTGTTCAAAGGCATAATTATTACTTCTAATAAAGAAATCATATCAATGTTCAGCAACGAGACAATTGAGTTATTAAAGATAAATTATTAAGTTATTATGCAGCACTTTTCGATTCCAATTGGCTATAAATGATAGTTTCACATATTCTGAATGACTTCATGTACGATCTAAACTGCAATTTAAAATTAAACATTTACAGCTCAAAACACTTTAAAATGATAAAAGTTTTGTTTCCACGAACAATAAATTTAAAACCGTTATCCAATTAAAGCTTAAGTTAATGCATAAGATTCTAGACTAGAATGATTTATTCTCCGACTCTAGAACTGCAAAAAGGACATTTTTAAAATCCATGTCATCAAAATTATCACATTTTTACAGTAAATTAAAAGAGCAAGCATGTCAGTAGCTTGTTGAATGAAAATTGATATCACTTTGGCACAATTGTAGAAAAACTTTGTTAATTAATAAATTCTGTTTATATTTCCTCTATCATGAACGGACAGTAATTATGAAATTGTAAATGTACATGTGAATAAGCGGGTCATGTTCGTAAGGGATGGATTTTATGCATCAAATATAAAAATTTGAGAACTAATTTCACATTAATCCAGTTAAAACATTAAATAAGTTGATGACCTTGCCAATTTTTTATGGCATTTTACAAAACCTCGCACGACTTTATCTTTTAACTCTTTAATAATGACGACTGAATTGCCACAATAAACACTGCGTGCATGACACGAGAGTTCAACCAAGCTGCATACATGATAATTGCATGTTGATCAAAAGGATAATCTGATAGGAGTCAGGCAAACGTATTAACTTAAATTTAATAAAGTTTTTATTGTCAACGTAGTCGTTACTTACACGTCAGTCTGATTAAAGCCATAAACAATGGATATTATGAGCAAAGTTTTGTCTTATTTTTTAATATTTTTGACATTTTGTAATCAAAGTAATAAGTTTAATAGACTAGAGATGATAAGTCTGATGGATTCAGTTCCTAAAGAGTATTACATAACAAATAAGCACTCAAAGTTTAGCTACAACTTTAATCGTCCAAAATTCATTCATCTAACGCCAGATGGACTAACGCCAGAAGCTGTAGACGAGATTAGAAGCTCAAAATTTGGAGTCGTGATTCAATATAGTCATGAGTTCGAAAACGATAATGAAGGAACTCAGCGAGAATTTGGATACAAAGATGCATGTCCTGTTAATAAATATAGAACTGAGTCTCCAGATTTTAATACAATTGGTAGCATATTAGAGGAGTTTTACGAAAATCTTTAACTACATCTTGAGATTTTTAAAGTGGACAATAATTTTGAGAAACTTGCGATTGATGTATTGCTGGATTTTAGTCGCATTTCGTGTATCATGAGTCATGCATTACAAATGTTCCGATTAGTTTAATTATTACAAATTTGATGCTTTATGTGAATTTTCTTTATCGAGATGCTATGTTTAATTTAGTCATCGTTCTTAATTGTTGCCTGCTTATTAATTGCTGTGCATAATAAGAAGATTTGGTTTTTATATTTTTAAGATAATTATATGTTGATTAGGAAATGTTAAGGAAAGAATAAAATATACAATACAATTAAAGTTGAACGAAGACTTGAAAGGTTTTCTAAAATCTGTGGCATAGTAAGAGTTGGAGAAATCAATTCTATAGAGTATTAACCCAAAAACCATATCCTTTAAGCTACAACTCTAGCACATAAACTTGCAAAATATGACAAATTGTTCTGATATTAATCCACTTACTTTTAAAAGATACTCAATTTCAAAGTTTGACAAAAAGATGTCGCTAGTAAGCCAAAAGCTCATCGAGTCAAAAGAGCCAACTGTTGCATATGTACGTAAATGATTAGTATGCGACCCATTCTCAGTTCATTGTTGAACTTTTCTTATTCCTCAGAAAAAATAAATCTTTTCTTCTTCCTCGCGAGAAATTTTTTCAGCATTCGCTGTAGTAACGATGATTCAAGATTTTTTTAACAGCTGACACATATAAATATTCAATGATGATACCAAAAATGTTGATGTTGTATTTACTGCTGTAATTCCAATTAATTTAATAGTTTATCTTATTTAATTGATAATTAAAAGTTGAAATGCAAACATAGTCAGTGGTTTATGAACAAGTTAAACTCATATAAAATTTATTAAATTAAAACCAGCCATCCATTAAGTTTGCAATTTCTGTTGCGGTAGACTTCCTAGAAAATTGTATTTATTGTGATATCAGAATCAGAATTGTAAATTTTTGTGGCTAGGGAAATTGAAATTTTGGTTCTTTTGAACCAATTAAAATGTAATTATTCAGGTTTTTCAATTGAAACAGGATTATTGACTTTTAATGGTTTTGTATGGTGCTTTTGCTATGTTTTTAAGTAGAAATATGAAGTTGACACTTCGATATGATATTTGATGCGCTTGAAAATAGAGAAAAACTTTTCGAGGTGGGAAAAAAAATTCTGAAAATTTTTTAAATTAAGATTGGTAAAGAAAACTCTTTCAATTTTACTTTTTATTACATTTTATTTCATCCAAAAAGCTCTTTTCCTACATCTGAATTTTTTTTACATAATTTTTCATCAAATGTTTTTGTGTTTAATTTAAGGATTGATATTACTTTATTTCCTCAAAATTTATTTTGTCTAAAATATTCATTCTTTAATGATATAAATTGACTACACAATCTATGTTTCTGTTCAATTTTAATTGATATTCACTAAAACACAAATAAGATTTATTTCTCTGGTTGTATGGTTGTATGGTGAGTAGATTAGATGATTTAGGCCGGCTTTATTGTGAATGGGGGAATTTTTTTACTACATTTTTTTAATTACTTCTCTATCTTATCTTTGTTCTAGTTCCGAAATTATGTAAAATAATATGAACAATGTGGAAAGGGAAATAGAAGTAGAAGGAACAAAGAGGTAACCTTACACAAAAAAATGTGAGTGCGAAATTTTTCATTTAATATGAAATTGATATGAATTATTAATGAACATCAACTTATACATAAATTACTTCCTGTTTGAATCATTTCTTATGTAAAATCATTTTTCTTAGAATTATCATAACATAAACTCATTTATATGGAAAAGAAGAGATTTTTTTTCAGACGATGATTCCTAGTAGGAGGGATTTGCTGACTTATAACAATTCTTTGAAAGCGTATTGCACAATTGTTGGCATTTTATGTGAACTTGTCTTAACCAAAAATGATATCGAATCTATTTTTACATTTAGTCGAAAAAATTTCATCAAATCCACAAAATATGCCAACATTTTATAGAGCAACCTCACATATGACAACAAATTCCACCTGCCAAGAAGCTGTTTTGATCATTTTTTTCATTAAATTATATTTCAAAAATTAAAAATCAATATTAACAAACTACTTTTAAAATATTTTTTAATCCATGAATTGTTAAATTAATTCTCTCAATTACTATAAAAATAAATATACAAAAATTGTCGAATCAGTTGACAAAAGTTTTTTTTAAAATTGTTAAAAATAATATTTTTTGATTCTGTTTTTTCATTAAAAGATATTTCTTTTAAAAATTGATAAATCGTCTAAAAACGGTTAAATGAATATATTAGTAAATTATACGACTTTATTTAACCGGCTAATGTAGCTTTACAAATAATTTCCAATCAGGTAAACAAAATCGTAGAATAAAATGTACAATCTTAAAGTTTTTAGACGACTTTATTATTTCTAGCGGTTAAATGAAATTTAAATTGTTTAACATTCTTTAAAACATAACTTTCAACATTTCATTTCAACCGTTCCTATACAATTACAATTTTTTTATCCATCCACTAATTGAAAAGTTGTGAGCTTAGAGCTTTTTCTCCCAGATAATAATATGTCCTTCTGTTGAATATTGTGACTTGGGCATCGTTACAGAATTTGACCTAAGATGGAAAGACTGTTGTCGACCATCACCATTTGAGCTACTAGAATGATTTGAATTTGAACTCCCACTTGATCCAATTGGCGAATTATGCCATATATGACGCCAATTTACATATCCTCGTCCACCATTCAACATTAACACTGTTCGACGACCATCGACCAATTGTTGATGATGATTACCCTTCAAATTCTTCCTTTTTGTCGTCTTCATTGTCGCAGTCGAGAACTGTGATGTATTTGGCACAATAGTTTCTTTGTTACTTTCAACTTCATCCACTTTTGTTGGTGTTGATGTTGCTTGAGCTGGATGATGTTCACATTCATTAATATTCACCAATTCAGAGCCATTAAACTTTTGACTAGCACTTGCATTTGAACTATTTCGCGAGACACTACGATACTTTACGCCCATGCTCTCTTCACTACCACTTGACGAGAATAAACTACTTGAGCGTGAATCGACAGACCAATTTGACAAGTCTAAAGAGCGTGGACGACCAGTCTTCATTTTTAGACGACGATCAAGCGTGCTTACTTTTGATGGTATTGCAGCTAGATCCGGATCAGAACTGCCACGTCTTAGATTCTCATATGCCTGCTCATGTAAACTCATCGCTGCTATCGGTGTGAGTGTCATTTGACCATCAAAGTCTTCTTTTACAAATAATAAATCACTATACAATCCGTAGACATCACATCCGCTATCAGATCCATTTGCCGATGAGCCAGAGCTTGATGAACTTCTCATGGAATTTGAGCCATTGAGGAATGAGCCAATTCCACTAAAGCCTCGAGGCAATGTTTTTGAAATGCGAGATAAGTCACTTTCGCGTATATTTGATTTACGCCTCAATACAATTGGACTATTTGGTAATTTGAATTTAGACGGAGACGGACTGATTTCTAATGATCTCTGCTTCTCCAATTTCACAATGTCTTCTTTATCAATATGACCATTTTTAAGCGGTTGGATTTGTTGATGTTGTGGTTCACTGTGACTATGATTCGTCTCATTATGATGATTCATTTCATTATCATGATTCGCTTCAAGTTTTGCAGCCGTTATAGCTTTCAATGGCAGACCCGACGTTGTCGTTTGTAGTGCAGTTTTTGTTATCAGCGGAAGGAAGAATGTCACTGGACCCAAATGTGCATGATAAGAGATGTTGATATTACCCGATATAATTGGAAGACCTTCAAGTCGGGGTAATGGAACTGTGAGTGTAAAGCCGACATTTGTTCCCACCCATAAAAGACCTTTGCATGCCATCAGTGCTGTCACGTATACAGTTGATAATGAGTTATTTGATGGAGTTTCACTTTTCGATGTAACACGCAAAATATTATGAGCAATGTTGATGTCTTGCAAATGCTTAAATGTCTCAATGTGATATAGGCAAATAACACTGGAATTTTTTAATGATATCCATAAGCCGACTCCTGCATGTGCCATTAAGTTCACATCATTATTTGACTGCTGAATTTCAAAATTCTTTTGTATATCGCCGGTGCTTCCATTTAATACATAAATTCTCTTGCCACATGCAACGTATACATTCGAGTTAATCGACAGCATACTTGTTATATTCTTGTGCTCATCCAATTTTATGATATGATATTGTTTCAAATTCCATATATCGCTATGATCGTCTTTATGATACATGAGGATATCGCCATTACTGAGTGCTATAAATGTTTTGTCGCATGTCACGTGATAAAGAATTTGTGTGGGAACGTCGGGAACATTTACTTGTGCTATTTGTTTTTCCTGTTCTGGATTATTACCAGCATACATAACAATTTTCTTATTAGACGTTCCTAACCATACGCAATCGATTTCACCTTCCGTTCCATCCATACGTCCACGGACATAATCCATTGCGGTAATCACAGTATCGTTGAGACTAAATGATGTCACATCCTTTATCATAGCTTGAGAGTGATTTGGCTGATGCATAAGAATTGTGATTTGTGAACTTGATCCATCAACTGAACATACCCACAGGTAGTAGCGATTTTTTGTTGCTCTTTTTTGAAATTTAAGTTCCGGACTCATTGCATAATAACATCCGCAGCGTACCTAAATTATTTTTTTAAAAAGAGAAGGAAAAGAAAATTATTATTTAATTCGAGATAATAAAATATTTTTTTTTGAGATTTTTGGGTCAGTTGAGATAAAATTTTTGAGATTTGTCAATCGTGAGTTGGTGTTTTCTATTGTAGCATGGACAACCTTGTCGACAGTGACTTGCATTTCCACAAATGTAAAATTCTGCCACTCATGATTCAATCTTGAAAATTGGTAAAGTTTGAAAAACAAAAAAACTTACTTCGGTTTGATGCTGCGTCGATT